ACAATGCCACTCTTCGCATACCAATAGTTCGCAAACAAGCGGACTATTTACAGGATACTACTGTGAGAATATCAACACTGAAAGAGAAGAAGTTATTGTCACACATGCCTAATTTAGGGACATCCGTACACCTGGTACAGGTGGGCTGCTAAAGTCATGCAGCTCCATTCATTGCCCCACTCTTAATATAATAACACGTCAGGAACTGCTATGAGTTGGAGACAGTAGTGTTCCTCATATAATACAAACCGAAATCCAGGGCCCTGAAGTTCAGACCCCTCAGATCTTCGTATTCCCGGGCCACTTATATTCCGCGCATTACCCTGCTTCCTAAATCATAGTACTACGCACATGAGTATACTCGCAAGATATGGTTTCTGATTATGCATACTTTCTATGTAAGCATGCTATTCAGACAATAATACACAACACCTATTACCACAGCTCAACCATTAGTACATTTATATAACGGTATTACGGCAACTTCTGTAATCATCATCATTGTAAATCGATACACATCCCATCTGTGCAGCCAATAATTCTGCTGCAATATCCGTATACTAGACGGTATATTGCTGCTCAAATAATGACACCCGTGGAATATCAATATTTCACACACAGAAGTACGATTCACATCATAGTACTTTTGGCACCATAGTACTATCGAAATAATGGTGTTGACGACAGTTCTTAGAGGTTTTACAATCCCGTACTTCATATAATTGGCCCATTAAGCATAAATCCAGACCTCTCATATATACAATGGTATATATCAACATAAGTGTTTACGATATGTATTCTCATTTCAGCGATACATCGAATATAAGAAGATTACTGATTCCGAGTACTAAAAGAATAATTGCCCCTTGAACTCATTTCCTGATAAATCGTCAATTATAAATCACAGAGTGCGTAATCATAAGTTCCAAGGGAGGCCTGGGATATGTATCCGAATTTTTCCTTTTTTTAGGATTTCTACCATAATACTGCGCCAATACCACTGCAAGCTCCTGTAGCGACTCGAGAATTGTTCTTTAACATTCTTCAGAATATTGCTCATCCTCAATGGTATTGATAGAAGCCATGGTGGATGACTCCTACGGACAGACGCCGAATAACAATCCCAACATGTGGTGAATCTTCATTATTCTTTCCTCCATTCGTCTATTAAAAATATATTCTCCACCGTTTTCTATATCATAATATTAATATTACATAGAAGTGACTCTTAAATTATTCCCTGTTATTATCATTAACCAAAAGAGTATAACAGAGTCTCATGCTGAGGATGCCCCTTCTTTCTGGGAAGCCCTCAGTCCTCTCTGTGTAGGGTACGCGGCACATACATGACTGTGATGAACCACTATATCCCCCAGTCTATATATAGATGAAAGACAAGATAGAGATAAAACACGAAGGAAAAATCTATTCGCCAAAATAAACTCAGTATTTCAAAATGCCTTAGGCAATAAAAAACTCAGAGTTTTTCCTTTCTGCTCCTGTGTAGCACTATGTCGATAATTATGAGTCCATATGAATATATAAGTCCCTATACTTATCAGGGACCAGGCATGTATCTGTATAAGTCTCCATATATGAATAAATCCAACCATGCTGGTATAGATATAAATGGAGAAGTATATATAGGGATATGGGCATATATCATATAGAATAATGTGGTGAGAAACATGACATCAACCAAAGAGAAATTAAGGCAAGCATTTAATAATGGAATTCCGAATTTTGTAAAGAATTTCTAGTATAATCTCGATATTATTATGGTTTACGTACGATAACGGCTTCGTAACTATCAGACGTCCCCTATCAATAGAGAGAAATTATTTCCTCCTCATTATGGAAAAAAAAACTTTATCATACTTATAAGAAATGATGACATCGTCTTCCACGATGTACCATAATCCTGCTCATAATTTGTCCTTGACGGAATCAGGCCATGCAGTTATAGCAACCACCCATAACAGTACTGGCACTGCGCGCCTCAGGAATACTAGGCTATTATTGACACATGTTCAGAGACACTTGAAATTAGTATATGCTTTAGGATCTCCTTTCGGAAGGGATTATACATATATCCTGAAAAATAAAGGCAATATTAACAGTTCCTGTAAAGAGTTTTTGTTAGAGGATTTTCAGAAACGAAGTTTCACCTCTACTGGGGATATTTTAGATAGGCGCTGGCCAGCACATACTATACAGGAACTCACAAATAATGAAGCGATAATGTGTGAAGGCTCAACAGGAGGATTATCAGGGGATGTAAAGCCGCCTAATTCTCTTTTAGACGACATAGGAGAGATACACATCGTTATGATTACAAATAATATGAACATTCTACGACGCATTCTTCAGAAGATTAGATACATAGAACAGAGCGTCCTAACTACCGGAATTAGCATTATCATAGAATATCATAGGGAATTATGTTTGGCTGTCCAAGAGACTTTATCAATGAGAAATAGGACATTGACCAACGAAGTAAAAAATCAAGCAAAATATCTCCTCAACTTCCAAGGGGGAATTGCGGAAAATCCATACCGTACGTCAAGAACTGAGAGGACCAATCTTAGTAAGTATCGCAGTAATCAAAATCGGAAATCATCAGCAAGCATTTGTCGAATCCGTACTATAATCCTGAAGCAATACCCCGCCGTCATCAATACGGTGTGGGATCCAATAGGTAAGATCACAGCAACAGAAATAATACATACATGTCGAAGAATTCTACATCGTCCCGCCTCGTCCTTATCATATAAGGCATAGAATTCCGTAAGGAGGGGTAAACAGCATCAGCATATTAGGAGGAGTCAGTACTGGCTACTGGGGATTGGAGTATATCGTCTGATGCTCCTTTTACGGCTGCTCGTCTCATTCACACTGGGAGTATTACCGTATATTTATAGGCATCCCATTAACAGCTGTCCTCTCTGTATCTTATGGACTCCTTGTCTTACGCGTCATAGCATATCTCTATGTGCTTGTGGAAGTATCCAAATATGGACAAACATTCGACGGTATCAGTAAGCCTCGCTTTAAGGATTGTATATGAGGCATGGAGAAATACATGTGGGACAAGATCTCGGCAGTTTCCTCGAACATAGTAACGGATTATTATTGGATGCTATGTTGTAATGATAGCGGGGCTTGGCTATCGCTAAAGTGGGATCGTGACTACCATAACCACTTTGTAATTTGAACAATTAATCCCCTTCTTTTTCTTATCGTGCTATCTATATCACATTCCCACTGTGTCTTGTATCGTAATATGGTATCTTGGCTTGATTAAGTCCCTCCTTTCAGTTTTACTTTAATATGTTCGTTATAAGGCCGTTCCTGTGGTATTTAGAATTATAAGTATAGAGCCCCCAACTTGTGGGTATTCTGGGTATCTTCAGAATTGTGCAAAGCAATATAGCTATATGGATGCATCATCACTTACCCCGAATAGATCTTATGAAATCAGAGACTGGTATAGGTAGCTAAAATGGCTATATAATTTATTCTTGCCATGACAACAAGTGTCTCTTTCTCTTCTCTGACGTCTACCTCCCTAGAAGTGATCAAGAGTATGTTTCATGTGTACTGAGAGGGAACTCATTGGTCGCATTTTATTAGCTTCTAAGAACGACAATTCTACTGTCTTTAAAGGTACACATCAAGAAAATTTAGGAGGGATTTCTATGAGGGGTTATAAGTGGAATTATTCTTTGCCTTGTTTCATGTGTGTCACACGCTCTGTTTCTGTTTTCACTTCTGTTCTGGCTCCCTGCTCTTCAATCTCCACATATTTTATCTTCTCTCTCGAGGAGGATATTAGAAGGGACATGTGACTTTCTTTTTAATCTCCGTTTTAGTAACCTCAGGAACGATTTTTTAATTCATTTGTTTGCATTCGGCACTGTGACCTTCCATTCCTCTTCTTATGTATTTTTTCTATTCTGTGTTAGAACAGATGAAGAAAGGGATGAGGGTGTAAACAAGTATTATAAGCATTCTCACATTGTATGCATTAATACAACGATAGATAATCGGGAATGATTCTCATATGCCTCCATAAATATCTGTTACATCATTATAATTCCTTCAGGATATGTATGATTTCATTCGTAGGTGTCTCCCTTCAGTCACTGTTAGAGGCGTCACACCACACAACACGATATCGTATGCAGGACCCCTGGCCTGCTGCCGTGATATGCTTTGTTTTTTTTGTTATTTAGCCTGTGTCTGTTCCTTAGAGAACTAGTTGAGCTATATACTCAAAGATGATTTCATATACGATAAGAAGCATGTCGCTGTCACCTGTCCTATTAGTTAAGTTGACTTCGGGGGCAAATGGCAGCGTCCCCTATGTGTGTAAAGACAGAAAGGCTGGAACCGACACGATTCTGTGATCAATTAGGAAGCAAACATTACGACATACAGGTGCATAACTCCCAAGGTGACTACTTTATGAGGCCGGCCCACAACTTAAGTTGAAACAAGGACCAAGAGGACTTCTCTGGACTAACGGGGGCATCCTATTTCTGCATAAGGAGCTCCAAAGGATAATAAGAGCAGGGAAACAAACAATTTGCGGATACCTATTCACAGCCTTTCGGCGGGAGAGTGTCAGATACCCCACTACGAATGTGCCACTATGTACATCGTGTATTCAACTTTACTTCTCACTATATAGTAACTTCAGCCGCAACATTCCTTGCCACTTCCTTGTATCAAGAGATGGTGAAAACTGGACACTTGTTCCTTCTGTGTCCTCCTCAATGATACATTACTTACTACGGTGAATCCGTACTTATCTGTTAATGGAGCTTATTTAGGCCGTATATGTTTTTTTCTTTCCTTTGCAGGACGGCAGACATCAAACATATAGGATTATGTTGTATTTTTATTTGGACGCTTCATTTCTCTTGCGCCCCCGGATTTTTTCTGTGGGAAGCACTTAATATTATGATGTGAATAAAAGTTTCGTGATATCACACATCTCGCCTTTATCTTATATGGAGGATTTAATAGGTTAATTCAGTAACTGACCAA